GCTGTCGGGATCAAACTGAGACAGAAGAAAAATACGTCACACAAGCTGCCTCTGATCTAAACTACGATATATTTCACTACTTGGTGAACATGAAGAGTGTTTACAACATGGAGGATTTATAAAAGACGTCCAAACTCTTTGAGTAACCAGGTTCTGGCAGAGAGAGTACATGTTAAACACGTAGGCTACATGTCTGTCTTAGCTAGCCAGTAAAAGCTACACTAGCTAAGCTAATGTCGCTAGTTCAGCAGTAAGTAGAGGACTCAGGTAGTTGTAACTTGTATTGTTTATAAGTGAGACAGGAACGAAGCGAGAGCTAGCTCTAAGCTTGTGACTTGTTTATTGTTGTCATAGCAACTGCCTGCCAAGATGGCTGAAAGCTGTAAAGTCTGTGACGTCACAAGGGAGCTATGTGTAGCTTTAGCAGGAAGCTAATCTTTTAACAACACGCGCAGTGGAAACCTTCTTATTTATGCATATAATTTGGAGCTACATGTCACAATATCTGATTCTCAACACATTCTGTCAAACTTTGCATGTAAATAACGTTTAATAACTGAAAGAAGGAATAATTTTTCTTTTTTCAAACGTAAAAAATAAATGCCAGCAGAAAACATCCTACTTGCATCTGACTCATCCACCATAAACATCACAGATTTCAGTCTGGAATATCTAAATATCGTCCATATTATAAGCATTTAAACCTATTATTTGAGCTGTTAAAATCACCCAGTACCAGAAATGTACAGATACAATTAATTAATTACTCTGCAGTTTTAGAGTCTCCTGTTTTACGTTGACCAAACAACCAAACATTATCCTCCTGAGAACAGCGTCTTTAAAACTCAGGGAATTTTTTATTACATTTTTTAACACGTAGAAACCAAGTAACACGCATAACTTTTCTATAAAAGTCTATGCAAGAGAAGCGCAAACCTGTGAATTATTTAACAGACAGTAAATCTATATGTTCTCTGGAAGCAAGCAGCACCATGAAGTCCAGGTCAAATATCTCCAACATGGTCTATAATTTCCAATCCATGCATCACTTCACATTTATGCACAACTTTGTGTTTATCACCCTGAATTCTGCATTTCTTATTCGGAAAAACGGGATTAAATCCTAATCTTAACATCCTAACCCTCAGATGCTGCACACTAATTTATCCCCTGAGCCGACCAGATCAGCCCTGAAGGTCGCCGAAGGTCACCAGGTCCCCTGCAGAAGGTCACCAGGTCGGTCATTCACCACTGATGAAGTGCTTCTACCTGGACCCACGACAGAGCAAGCGTCCTAAACCACCTGATGGAGGCGGGAGTCTCTTTGGACCGGAGGCGTCCTGATGGAGGCGGGAGTCTCTTTGGACCAGAGGTTTCCTATTCATCACCATGATGAGAGCCATTAATCAGCTGAAGACGCTCGTAATCACAGGCAGGATGAGGAAGGGACAGGGACCCCAAACATCTGTGATTGTGATGCTAATTTTTACAAATCAGTCCACTGATTGCCAAATGCAATGAGATTTTTAAATGTGTAAATCAGATTATGTCCCTTTTAGGCTGAAATGCCTAAACTGCAGCTTTAATACTGAGGCTTCTGATTTCCTGTTTTATTTATTCACTCACATTCCTAAAAAGTTAAATTATTAATAATTCCCATACGATCCAGAATGTTGGTTCCTAAAAATGTTTTTTTGTAGGAAAAACAAAATGTTGACAAGCAGGAAAAACCTGCAAATAAACAGTTTACTCACCTTAACTGTCTGTATTTTAGTCTGTAATAAAATACAGACCAAAATATGTTATTATATTTTAGTCTGTAATAAAATACAGACCAAAATATGTTATTATATTTTAGTCTGTATCCAGCATGTTAATAACTATAAATGGTTTTTACCAACAGCTCTTTGTGGAAATAAATCTAACATAAATTATACTATTATTGATGAAAACATTCAATATTTTGTGCACCTATATAAATAATTTGATGTTGGAAAACTTTATTCATGTCCTATTCATTCATTCATTCATTCATTCATTCATTTATTCGTTTATTTTCTTGGTAATTTATGAAAATATGTAAATTTTTGCACATACCAAAACAGCAAATTTGGATTTGCTCAAAAAAAAAAATCCAAATTTGGTAAATGAAAATAAAATACAACTTAAATGAATAACTGTGCAATAAGAAATGTTTATAATTGTGTATAATTTTAAGTATTCACAAAACAAAGCAGAACAAAACAAAGGTTTCTTAAATATTTTCTGAAAAGTAAGAGAATAAAAGCACCCAGGTGATTAAAATGCTCACATGAAAAGAGGACTTTGTGCAGCAAATCGTGTCAAATTTCTTCTACTTTTATTTAGAGGGAAAATGATGCTCCCATTGTAGCCACTTAATGTCAGATACTTTTGTTAATTTCTGCTCAGAAAGCAAAGTAATCTCTTTTATGCTAAAGTCTTTGTGTTGCTGAAAACTTTTTCAGCTCAGAATAATCCTAAAAATGCTGCATAACAAATCCTGTTATCCTGCTTTGCCTCCATTTTACTCTGAATCATCTGTCACTTTTATTTCTCTATTATATTATAATTTAAAGTACTGAACACAAACAACAAAGTCCCACCAAGCCAGAGGTTTATTACCATCTTCAGAAATTATGTGCAAAACACTTTTAACGACAAAAATCCAACCAAGTCAGAAGAAAGCCTGAGTTTCCTTCTGCTTCAAAGAGAATATCTGGTTTCCTCAGACGCAGCTAAACTGCTTCACCTCGGCTGCCATGTTTGCCCCAGCAGGGCGACTGCGGCTCGGAGCGCAGAACCAACTTACATCGCCCCAAACGCCTCAGGATAAAACAGATAAAATGTATTTTTGATAAAACACATGAAACTAAGCATGTCAGGCTTTTCTCCTTGAAGAAAGCTGGATTTTTCTTTGATGCTCATAAGAAAACATGTGAAGCTACATGATTTACGCAGGAACGTAAAACAGAAAATACAGGAAAGACTGGATCACCAAAAACAACAAAAATACAGCAAAACTGTCTGCTTACTGTAAATTTACCATTTCAGAAACTAGACCAAAAATACTTGATAAGATTTTGTGTTTTTACAGAATAAAACTATGTAAACACTGAGATGAGATATATTCATAATTCAGCCTACGAGACGCTCATCCTCTATCAGCCAATCAGAGAAGACGTTGGATCTTATTCAGGAGTGGGAGCCATAAGCCCCGCCTACCTGCTACGAACCGAAAAGACTTCCTGTTGTCTTCTTTGTGGTTTTTTTAGGTAAATTATTGCTACTGAAATTAAGCATGTCTTGGTTTTTATTCCTTTTTAATCAAACTCAAATGTTTATGTTGTCATTTCTCTGCCTGTGTTGTTGTAGTTATTGTGAAGCATTGTGGTCAGCTGTAAATGTGCTTCATGAATGAATGAAACTTTGTTGGCAGCGTGAATCAGCAGATGAAAGTCTACCGACACTGACTGGTTTTGGCCCTGAGCTGAAGGAAATGAGCTTTCACAGCTCAGCTTTTAGGCTTATCACATTAAAAAGTAAATCTACCCTCCAAAAACCAGAAAACCAGGATAAAAGTTTAGTTTTTTTACAATGTGGTATTAAGGCCTCCATTCTTTAGGCTTAGAGATTGTTGGGTTTGATTAAAATGAACCAAGAGATAAAAATACAAGCACTAAATAAAAGTAAAAGTCTCTCTCTGCAGCTGCAGTTAAACAAGTTGAGGCTGAATCTGAGCCATGTTGGATCCAACAGTCGTGAATTCAAATGAACCAACGTTTCATTTCCTGATCTGTGTCCGCCAACACAGACTGCGATCGTAAAAACCAGCCAAAGTGAGACATGTCTACCAACGATGCCTTTGTCTGTCAACTGCAATAATTACTCCCAATTTACACACACTCAAACACGATGCTCATGACTTATTCCCAGCGTTTTCAATCTCCCGCTGGTTTGCATTCAGACATAAAGTTTAAGCTTAATGTGGCGACTGAACATCCCAAATGTGGATTAGATATGCATGGCGGTGTCTGCCAGCAACGCTTCCCTCCCTAATGTGACATGACAAAAAGTGCTGCCAGCTCTGTATGTGTGCATCTGTTTTTTAAAGTTGTGCTGACATGCAACCAAAAATAACCAGAGCTTTAACTGTCTTTTTTTAAACATCTACTGTGGAAGGAACGATTTTAAAAGGTTTTATGCAAAAGTGACCTGACAAGCAACTGGAAACAGGAGAAAACTTCTGCAACCTCCTGATCCGACGCTTTCCAAAACCGCCAAACAAGAACTTTAAATTTTAATAAGAACTTTAAATTTTAATATCCAAATTAAATCCACTGATGTGCAGCATCTCAAACTGACCCGTTTGGTTGTTTCAGTCATTTATAAAAATGTGTTTGTAGGTCTTTGCAAGCTCTGAATAATCTAAGTTTGGTACATGAAAATAAAAAACAGCTTCAATAAAAACAGATGTTGTTGCTTATTTAGGCACCATTTAAAACTGTTCATAACTTAAAATATTTTATACAACCTTTAAATTATTTTCTAATGAAAAATCACAAAGTTTTTCTTAAATATTTCTGTGAACAAATAACTGAATAAAAGCATCCAGGTGGATATTTATGTTTTATTTGAGTGTGAACCTTTAATGTCTGAATGCAAACCAGCGGGGGATTAAAACATTGAGAATAAGTCATGGGTATTGTTTTTTGGTTATTAAAAGCTTTAATATCCAACTTCAAAAGTGTAATTTCTACCGGGTCAGATCTGAAACTGACCTTTTATTAACAAGAAAAATAAACGCTCATACAGGAACAACTGACAGAAATGAGAAATAAAACGTATCCAGCCCCAAACACTGCAGGATAAACCCAGATCACCTTCTATTTTCCATCAATCCCCACCTCTAAATCCTAGTAAAGGTAAGTTTCACTCAGACCGAGTCGTTTCCAGCCGGAGCTCAGAGTGGCCAGACTGACCTTTGAAGAAGCAGTCTTTGCTGTGCACCACGTAGATGCGCCTCCTCTCCAGGCAGGCGGTGCGGTAAACCTCGCAGTGGTTCTCGTAAAACCTGCCGTCCGAGCCGCACACGGGCACAAAGGAGGGCCGACATTTTTCCTGGCACACGCATTCGGCGCGCCCGCTCTCCGCCATCAGCACACACTGCCGGCCTCTTCCACAGTAGGTCCTGTGACACGGGTCTTCCTCTGCATCAGAATGAGCTGCAGGAAATAGAAAGTACAGGATTTTACTGCTTCCTGCGCAAAATTTAAAGCAGAAAATTACAAAATTCTGACTAAAAATAAAATAAAAATCATCCAAAAATGCAGCTTTATTGTAGTCGTATGTGGACCCGTTGCAGCGTGATGCCACACAGTAGATCCCGCCCCCATCTTCCTGCAGGAGGGCAAAAGCTGCTCGCTAACTATGGCTAGCATTGGTTTAGCTATCACGTTATCAACATAATGTGCGAAATCTTAAATGTACGCCTGACATATAAAAGAAAAAGGGCGTAGAGCTTTGCTACTATCAGTCAACATTACAGCAACTAGATAACAAGGTCAAGAAAAAGAGTGAAGTAGCTCACTTATGCTAGCTTGACTATGACAAAAGTAACATGTAGATGTGCTGCAGAATTGGATGTGTTTCAGTCCATGTATAAAATAAAAAATAAAGTCGACCTAAACACTGACTGACAGATCATCAGCAGAGCAGATCTTTAAATTAGTTAAACTACCACTGCTGTGTTAGCTTAGCTAATACCAGCGGTAGCTAACCTACCACCACTGTGTTAGCTTAGCATATAGCAGTGGTAGCTAATCTATCACAGTGATCACTTATTAATAATCACAAACATCTAGAAAACATAAAACTGTAACGGACTGAATGTTCTGCTCTGTGTGAGGGAAATGTTTGGGTGATTTTTGGTGTTGAATCCTGATACATGTATTGTTGTTGTCAGTTGCTATGGCAACAAGTCTGCGTGTAGCTTAACCGATACAGACAGCGAGAAAAAAGTGGGTTTTTTTGCGTTATTTTCCCTTTGCTGCTCTGCACTGTGTTGATAGCAGCTTCATCTCCAGGTTTCATTTAACTGTAGGTTTCATCCTGCTGATCAAATGAAGCAGTTGATGGGAAGGAAAAGAATCGTATTTCTGTGTTTATGTGGGAAAGTTACAAATGTAAACAACAACATCCAGTTATAAAATCCATGGGTTGAATAATAACTGAATATGCAAAGAAATCAATGACTGAAGTCATCTTGATGACAAGTTAAACGTGTCCAGCTGTAGAAGAAGGAAAGACGGTAAATCAGAGTGCAGATTTTTACCATGAGCCCAGAAATAGAAAAGCATAAACAGACGTCACACACCTCCAGGCTCGCTCAGATGCAGCGTTGTGTTAACAAGGAAATACTGTTTTTAACCACTGCTAACCAACTGTTAGGCGTCCGTATCAACACCTCTCTGCACTCATTTACACGTTCAAATGTGAAAACTATGATATTCATAAGGAGCAGCTCCTGCAAACGTAAGCAAATGTTGCAAAGCTGCGTGTTTGTCTTGTGTGTTGGACAGAAACCAAAGTGAAACAAACCCAAACGTGTCTGTAACGTCGTCGGATCCACACCAACAGGACAAACGTTACGGATCCATAACTTTGGTTCAGACTATTTTAAATATTATGACATCATCAACAATCAATAAACTTTTCAGTCTAATGGATATTTAACTCTGGAACTGGAAAACATTTTAAATATCCAAAATGAATAAATAAAAAACAATAAATAAAATGATTATTAATTCTCCTAGTAGAGACCAAAGAACCAGGCAGGCGGTAAACCTCCTTTTATCATCCAGGTTTGGGTAGATAAAAAAGATCTACTTTTCATTTATCATGTTATTAATTAATTGATTGATTTGCTGATTATTGCGACAGCCCTGCTCTATATGTTTCAATGTCTTCAAAAAGTCCATTTATTTTCAGTAATTCAGTCAAAAGAAACTAAAACTCACTGTTTGAATCCACATGGTTATTTGTTTATTTCTGTTTATATCATAAAATTAAAGAAGATTAAAAGTGATTTAAATCCTTCTCAATAAGAACATTTTGTTTGGCGATGAGCTGCGAGTCGCTGAGAGGCTGGAAATTAACAAGATTATTAAATCATGATGGAAACACTGCAGAGACACTTCAGATTCTGATTCTGGTCATACAGCCTGGTTTTCCTGTCACAATTACTAAACTATTCTTCAAACTGTTGTAAAACATCAAAAAGTGCCAAAAATACAGCAGTCCAGAAGCCTGTAATGCGAATCCTCTGAAACGAGCTATTTTGAGATAAAATAAAGACTGAAGCAGTGAAGTCAAAGCAAATCTCCAGCCCTGCTGAGTTTCATTCCTGTATTTCCTTTTAAAAATTTAAAGCACTTCTTTCTGTCACTTTATTTTTTTACCTTTTGATGTTAACAAGCTTCGCCTTTTAGGAATCCAGGCCAAACATAAAGGAGATGGATGGAGCTGCTGGCTGCAGCAATCTGAGCAAACAAATCGCACAACATGAAATGTTCAGAGTGGAGCAGGAGGCACACGGGACATGAAATGCTTCAGATAACAGCTAATGTGTGCAGCTGAATCCGATACTGCAGCTCCTAACGGTTCACTGTGGATGAGAGACGACAGAAGCGGATCTGGACTGTTAAAGGAATAAACATCCTCAGCTCCATCAGCCCTCTGTGAAATAAGGCTAAAACGCTAAAACACAGACTGGATTAGAAAGTTCAGGCTCTTATAATCAAACTGCTGAAAACAGAAATTGAATTTGCCTGAGGAATAATCATATCTCCACTCTCAGCATATTAAATAACAGAGATAATGCGCCGCCGTCGGAGGACAATAGTTTAGTCATTGCATGAAGGCGATTTCAGGGTTGGTGCACAGAGGTCAACAGCAGCACACACACATTTCACACACTCTCCTTCTGTCTGCGGGGCGCCTGGAAGTGCCGAAAGATTCATTCAGTTGGTGTTACAATAAAACTACATTCAAAGTATTCGTTGGAAACATTCAGCTTGATGAATTTTAACTGATACCGAACTCATAATTCTGTATTAAACCTAGTAAAGCCTCTGCAGGATGATAAAATGTCAAAATATTCATATTTCATTTATTGCCTGTTACAAACTATTGCACCGCAAAACCACAAGATCTAGAAACCAGACCCAGTTGGTCAAGTTTCCAGATCCAGTTGGCCAAGTTTCCAGATTCAGTTGGTCGAGTTTCCAGACCCAGTTGGCCAAGTTTCCAGATTCAGTTGGTCGAGTTTCCAGACCCAGTTGTTTGGGTTTCCAGGCCCAGTTGGTCGAGTTTCCAGATCCAGTTGGCCAAGTTTCCAGACCCAGTTGGTCGAGTTTCCAGACCCAGTTGGTCAAGTTTCCAGACCCAGTTGGTCGAGTTTCCAGACCCAGTTGGTCAAGTTTCCAGACCCAGTTGGTCAAGTTTCCAGACCCAGTTGTTTGGGTTTCCAGACCCAGTTGGTCGAGTTTCTGGAGTAAACTTCTTAGTTCAGTTGAAATAAGACAAACCTTTAAGCAACGTGAGCCTGACTTGGTTTGACTGATGAAAACGTTCTACTGGCAGATTATTTCATGCAAGTTAGTTTTGTCTTATTTCAAGTGAACTAAGAAACTAGAAATTAGACCAAAATTACTTGGTAAGACTTTGTGTTTTTGCAGTGTAAACATAAAGATTCAGTCAAACTGTTTGATTCAGGAAAACCTTCAAAACCATCCAGGAAATTAAACTGAAAATATTTTAATTTCATTATAAAGTATTTTTACTCTTACTTGAGGAAAAGTAGTGGATTTTCTTCCCACTGAATGAAACGTGTTTTAAAAACTCTCCAGACACAAACCTGCAGCTTCTGCTAAAGTTTCTGGAGTTTTTTATTGAAGAAGCTGATTTTATTTTATGTTACTTATATGAATTATTGTTATTTTGTTCCTTAAAATACCAACATTTTCCCGTAACTTTATATTTTGTGTGTAATTTTTAAATATTAAATGATAATTTTTGGAAAATACTTTTTTACTCTTACTTGAGTATAACTTCTAGTTACTCTGCCCTCCTCTGCTAATATTACACCACTCATAAACGTTGGAAATGTAATTTAGCAGTAAAATCGATAACCGCAGAGCGAGAAAGCCCACAGGAGCGTCCAGCCCGACCCAACATGGCCGCTCTATCATAATTAAGTGTTGGGAATGAGAGGAAGCTGTGGTTTGGGGCTCTGCCAGGTCGGCGCTCCGATGGGAACGCCTGGCGGACGCTGCACGTAAGACGGGCTCAGCTCCGTTTTATTAAGTTGGCTAATTGTTCTGCGTGCCTCCGCAAGGCATCTGTGGGAAATGCAAAGCAGCCGCGCTCCCCCGCCGCTCATGTCAAGGTCAGGGACGATTACAAGATCGTTTGTATTCTCCAAGCACAAGAGATTAAACGCTTAGCAACAACGTCCAGCAGCCGCTCCGTCTTCCTCTCGGCATCTTCGTCACGTCGGAGAAACAGAACATGAGCAGCAGCAAAACTGCATGAAAGCTACATTTACAATACAAAGCTGTCTGACATTTCACTAAGTCTTTCATCTGCTTTGTCTCCTGCTGTTTGCAGTTGTGGCTTGTTTAAGAGGCTGAAAGTGGCGTCTGATAATCCTCCCTGTCTAAGCTGCTGGCACAATGTCTGTCAATGCATGAGGCGCAGAATGGTGCCAGGACAAAGCCAGGCTGACCAACCGGGTCCGGTCCGACCAACCAGGTCCGGTCCAGGCCTCCTGTCACTCTAATGCCGTCGTTCTTAGTCTCTCTTCCTCCTCGGCAGACCGAGCATGGCCGCTCTCTTTGCTCTTTCAAGCTGCAGATTTTCAATAAGAAAACAAAACTGCAGCCGCACTTTTTAAAAATAACTAAAGCTCTGCTGCGAAGCTTCAAACCAAAACTCCAGCTGAACAGAAACTCAAGTTATGAAATAGGAACGATCTAGAGTCATAGATCTAGTCATAGATCTAGAGTCATAGATCATCATGATTTTTCATGTCCTTCAGGAAAGATGTTGGTTCATATTTGGTTTTATTACGGATTATTCAATGACAAAACTTCTGAAATTTTACCAGAAAGTGCAGATCTGAGTCTGTTTTTCATTCAGTTGGTAGAAAATACAGAAATTTTAC